TATATTACCATTTAATAACAATTAAAAAATAAACAGATAAATAAATATATTTTGTGGGGCCACAGGGAACTGGTGATTAGTAGTGTTAGCTGACATAAAAATAGATGAATAAATCATAGTTCAATCAGCATGGTTCAAGGGGTCATTGCTAGGTGAAATGGTATCACAGAATAACAGAGAAATATACATTTCGTAGTATGAGAGAAGGCTTTCTAAGCTGAGAAGACATCATGGCAAGGGCACGGAGCAGTATGGTATGAAGAACCACTGTAAGAAGGTTGTACTAGTGAATCCTATCGTGTTGGAAAGCAGCCAATAAAATGCAGGTTGCATAGGGCAACCCAGACATTTAATGGAAAAACCTTTTATGCCGGGCGAAGGACTTGACAGTTTATTTATAGACAATGAAGATAAAGATACTGAGTATGTTTTTGATGCCCAGGGAATGACTTTTAGGTTGACTCTGGCTGTAGCATGGAAATTAATTGATCAAAGAAAAAGATTCTGGAATTCTAGAAAACCACTAAGACTGTGAACTTTGATACCCACTTGACCATTAGCCTACAATGTGTATCAGACATTAAATATGCTTTCCACCAACATGTAATATGTTTATGTTGCAAAGCTGATAATGCAGGGATTAACAAATTATGTTTGTATATATAGTAGTGTCAGAGTTAGGAAGATGGGATATGTCTGTCCCACAGTATCTTATATGCCTTAGTCACCCTTGAGCTTATCAAAAGTGTTAGATTCTTTAGCAATTAAAGAGATACCATGACCACTGTCTGTATCTTCCATGTGACAAGCTGGCTCACTATACAATACTTAATCCCACAGCGTTTAGATTTGAGAAGTGAATTTCTGTAGCTGGGTTTTTCTTTTAGAGGAATGTTCTTCTATTCTCTGTCTTATATAACTCTTCTTCTAAAAATCAAATCATGTCTTTAAATTTGAATTTACCTCTTTATCTTTAAACTTTGACCCAGTCAAAGCCAATAGTTCTTTTAATCATACAGGTTGAACATTCACAATCTAAAAATAGCAATAGCAATGTCCCAAATCTGAAACTTTTTGAGCACTGACAGAATGCTATAAGTGGGAAATTCCACCTCTGACCTCACAAGATAGATCACAGTCAAAACACAGACACATTAAAAATTATGTGCACAATTACCTTCAGGAGGCTGGAAGGATAGCCTGGAGGTACAGTTCAAACTTAGCATGTGTGAAGCCCTGAGTTCAATGCTCAGCACACACACACACACACACACACACACACACACACACATTACATTCTTACATTCAAGCCATGTGTCTGAGACACATGGATATCATGTTTAAACTTCATTTTATGTCCTAAGATACCCTAGTATATAAATGCAAATGTTCTAAAATTTAAAAAAATGTGAGATCCAAAACATTTTTGGCCCCAAGCATTTTGGATAGATTCTTAACCTGTGATTGTAAACTACTTTCTATGTACCTATCAGATATTATTTTAAATGCATACTAATCACACTTAGGTGACTGAGTCAATTTTTTTTCCCCCAGGGCTGAGGACTGAACCCAGGGCTGGACGGGCACCCTTCTGCTGGGCTAAATCCCCAGCCTGAGAGTCAATATTTTTTTAAATCACCAGAATATGCTGCTTCCCCTCCCCCAAATCTCAGCTTTAGAAAGGCATTCAGCAGGATCAAGGGACCAGGAACATCAGCATTTGCCTTACAGAGAGCTTTTCTTGGCCATTACTTTTTGTAAAACTGCAAAATCCTCTAAGTGTTACTATTATGCTAGTCAGCTTTCTACTAGTATGATGAATACCTAAGATGATAAACTTGCAGTTGGCTTACAGTTTTGGAAGTTCTAGTCCATGGCCTCTTTGCTTTTTGGTCAGTGTTGGGCAGCATAGCATGACAGGAATGCATGATGGAACAAAACTTCAACTCATAAGAACCAATAGAACAAAAAAAAAAAAAAAAAAAAAGGAAGAGGAAGAAGCCAGGGTCCCACTATTCCCTTCAAGATTACCCCTACATAGCTAAATTGGTTGATCATTCTTTTGTTCTGGAGAAGGGAAATGGGGTGTTGATCATCCACCACCTTTTGGTGTTAGATGTTTTGGCCTTTTTCATTCTGCCTAACAGTTAATGCAAAGACTTCCCAGTAGTAGGCCCTTCCTCTTAAAGATGCCACCATCTCCAAGTAGCCATCCTGGGAATGTGACTTAAACATGGACTTTGGGGGAGATACTTAAGATTTAAAGTATAGCATCCATCCATCTGATGGTTATGCTTTTACTATATGTTTACTGTTTCATTAGTCCAATTGTCTTCAGAAAAACATATTTGGAAGTACAATTTAGTCAGATTGAAAGCTTATTTTTCTGAGTCGATGTGATTTTTATAGTGTAATCAAAGCTTTCTAACCCTCACAAGCAAGATCTTACTTTAAGAGTTCCACCAAGAGAGGAGGCTTGCTAAGAATTTGCTGCTCATTAAAGTTTCTTCTCTTGTATGCTTATGATTAAGATGAAACCTTTTCTGCCAGGTCAGCAATCAGACTAAATCTAATGTAAGAACTTTATTGATTTAAAAAAAAAAGTTAACTACATTAATCTTTTACTTTCATTTTATCTTTAGGTCATTAAAGCACTGATCCTTTCTGTGAAAGGGAATTACTTCTCATATTGTCTGAAGCTTTTATAGAAGATAGAAGAATAGCAAAAAGTTATTTTTCTGAAACTCCGTTTGCTATGTAAGGATTTACAGTCTACTCACTGGTTGAAGGATCTCTGACCTTGCCCAATCTTAAATGCTTCCTGTGTCATTTTGGAGTCTCAACTTTATTTTTAGAAGTGGTTAGCTATTTAGAAAGAATTGTTAACTGGTGCTCAGCTCTTTATGGTTCTCAAACACACTTGTAGATGTGAAAAAAAAATCAGAGCTTCTGATTTTTAATATACTTGGCAGACTACTTACCTTTTTTCAAGATAAAAATATTAATATAAATTGTACAAAACTCAGAAGAACTTTCTGATGCTTTCAATTAAGAGGATCAGGAAGGTGGGTGAAGGAATCTCTGTTTTTCTTCAAATACTATGAGAGCTTTTAAGCCTGACCACTCCAAGGTGGTGAGATCTTTTCAAGTCCTCTGGGGTTGGCCAAGCAAGTGAAGTGTTTGGCCTTATCAATTATCAGAAAAAAAGCATTGAGCATAGAATACATGTTGTACAAAAAAAGAATTGATAAACAACTTTGGTTCAGTAATCACACACTTGTTACTTTAACCTCATACTTTAAAAAAAAAAATCTTTAAAACCCAGGAATCTCTCAGTTACCTTCCCCGCCTCCTGACTTTGATCTGTAGTGGAGCTTGAACTTCAGGCCTGGGTACTGTTCCACCACTTGAGCCAGCTCCACTTCCAGTTTTCTGGTGGTTAATTGGAGAGGAGTCTCAAGAATTTCAGGCTTCCAACCGCCATCCCATCCTTAGATCTCAGTCTCCTGAGTTGCTAGGATTACAGGCATGAGCCAGAAGCACCAAGCTCTGGCAAGCATTTATCAGGGAAAACAAAGAATGGATTTGCAAGGAGATCCAAGAGTGGTGTAATTTTCTGCAATCACCTAATATGTGGGTAATACATCTAGAACAAGGGAATTACCCCAGTCTTTTATTATATTATTAATCTTATTATTTAATCTTCAAGTAGTCGTACAACATGTCAGTTTGTGAGTACAGTGCATCTTAGTCACTGTCATCTGTGGAAGTCAGACTTAAACTCTTCCAGTCTCTAGGAGTGAAAAAACTATGTGGGAAAGACAAGAGGAAACAGCCCACTCCACTGGGATTCCAGAAGCCTCCATGTTCTTTTCCTCTGTGGCAGTGGGTGACCTCATCTCCGCAGTCCCAGGCAGCAGGTCACATAATGAAGGCACCCAGTTTTGGAGATGTGTGGGAATGGGGTGTTGATCATCCACCACCTTCCCCATTCTGCCTAGCAATCAAAGAGCTGTTAACTTCCTTTGTGGAGTTGTAGGACTGGGGGAATGCTCCTGGGAGCTCCGGTGGCACTCTCCTGGCCTCTTCTTGGAACCCGAGCAACCGGGGAGTCCAGAGGAAGCACCGGAAGCTTTCTTTGGCGCCCCATTACTAGGTACCCACTGCAGGGTGGGAGTCGGAGAGGACAGTGCACGACTGAGATGCAGGGCGCTCGATCTGCACTCCAGGAGTCCGGGAAAGGGCCTGGCGCAGGACGGGAATCACGCACGCGGCGGCGCCGGGCGAGGCTGGCTGCAGGGCGCCGGAGCGGTCGGATGGGGGAGCGAGAGCTAAAGCTTGCGGAGCGCGCGGAGCGGCTGGCGCCAGCAGGCGAAGCCAAAAGCCGGCGCCGCGCCGAGTCCCGCGGGTCGCCGGGCCGGAGCTTCGGGGAGGTGGGGCGGGGCCTGGGGGCGGTGGGCGGGGCCGTGCCTGTGGGCGGAGCAGTGGGCGGGGTCGGCGGCGCCAGGGAGGCGGGGGCGGGGGCGGGGGCGGGGGCGGGGGCGGCGTCTCCCCGAGCTGCGCAGGCGTTGCTCGCACCTTGCTGATTAGTCAGTGCTGGGAGCGGTGCTATGGCGTTTCTCAGACCCGCGGCTCCTCCTCACACGCTCGAGGCGGAGGGAAGGAGGGGGAAGAGGAGGAGGAGGCGAGCGGGCGGCTGCCGCAGCTGCAGACCCGGGGCCAGAGGAGGAGGCGGAGCGGGAGTCGCCGCAGCCACCCCGGCCGCCGCCGTCGCCGCCGCCCGCGGACGCGAGGCTGCTCCGAGTCCTCTCCGGGCTTGAGGGGCGCACGGGGCGCCCTCAGCCATGCCCCGCCGAGGCGGCTGAGCCGGGCGCCGGCCGCTTCAGCCGCCGCGCCCCCCTCGGCTGCCCGCGGCTGGGGCTGCCCGGCGCCTCCCGCGCGCCCCAGATCGCGAGCGCGAGGTAGTGGCGGCCGCCGAGGCGCGCTGGTGCCGGCGGCCGGCCGGCCGGGGGAGCGCGGGACCGCCCGGCGGAGGCGGGGAAGATGGACCCGGCGCCCTCGCTGGGCTGCAGCCTCAAGGATGTGAAGTGGAGCTCGGTGGCCGTGCCGCTCGACCTGCTGGTCAGCACTTACCGGCTGCCCCAGATCGCGCGGCTGGACAGCGGTGAGTCCCGGGCGGGCGCAGGACCGGCGGGCGCCGATCTCCGTCTCGGCCCGGGTGTGCGCGCGCGCGGGGGGCTCGGGAGGGCGGGACCGTCGGGACCGGTGGGGAGTGGGCTGTCCCCAACCCCCTCCCCGGCCCTGGGGCCCCGGAGTTGGCCGGTGCGGCTGCCGCAGCCCTGGCGCGTTGCTCTCGACTCTCCTCCAAGCAGCAGCCAACAGAGGTGGAGATCGGAGTCCTGGCGTGTAATTTAACAATAATAAAGAATCCCTTGAAAAAATAACACGAGGGAAACCTCTGCAGATAGAGATCTCGGACCCAAGCCGCCCCTCCCCAGCCGCCTGCAAGAATTACTCAACCTGGGAAACCCTGAAGAGTTATCTCCGACAACTTTCTTAGGGAAAATAATTGTGCTCTGCACGGCATCGTGTTTTCTGTGCTCTCTCTCTAACCCCTAAAGCTGCAGATTTAAGAGGAAAAGCTCCTAGGTGACCAGTGAAAGGGATCATATTTCTCAGACATCTTTTATTACAGCTTGTCTGTTTTGTTTAACCCAACTGAAAGTAATTTCAGGCTATGTGTTAGAAAATGTCTTTAGCAGAAGTGATGGTATGCTTAAGGTTAATGATTAGCTGAGCACATTTCCAGCCTGGACATTTAAAAAAAAAATAGGTCACTATGTGCATGTATATGCAACAGAACCAAGAAACACCTATATTTCCTGAAACTAACAGAAACCAAACATCTCTCCATCCTGAATGCTCTATGTAGTAGGACAGCTACAAACAAATCTACAGATGTGCAGATCAAGCGAGAGGACACCTTTCAGTTAGAGAGTTGAGACAAGAAAGCGGCTATTTACATCGTGTTTTATTTTCACAACCTCAGTGGGGTTTGGACTGGGACGATTTTAGACTGTTTGCAAAAAGGAACCTGACCTGCTATGGGATATCAGGCCCCAGGATTGCAGGCTAGGGAGGCAGGCAGGCAGGCAGGCAGATAGGTAGAGAGAGCTGTGACCACACACAGGTCAAGTTAAAATATCAGTGAACCGAAAGATGTTTTGAGTCCCAAGTACTTGTGTAATTTCGTTGTTTTCTGGGCTATAAGAGTGTGACACAAGATGTGTAACTGTCCAAAGACATTTTTATTTCATTTCTTATCTGTGGTATTGGGTTACATATTTGAAGCACTCATGTGAGAAAGAAGTGCTGGAAAGTTCCTGACAGATGACAGACAACTTGCTATCCTTGTGTAGTGTGGGTCATGGTGGGAGCTGGAAGTAATCTACAAGTTATGATAGTATCTGAGGAGTCCAGAGGAAGATAGATAGGTTGAGGCAGTCTGCTTAGAATGTGAGTGGGAAAAGTATTTTGTGCATTAAGTATGCATCTGCAGGCCTGAGTGTGTTTGTGTGTGCGTGCGCACGCGTGTGTGCATAGTGTTTCATTTCTTCTTCCACTATGAAAAAAGTATATATTGGCAGGTTTTGAGTCCTCACCTTTCCAGACCTTCTCTCATCTCTGAATACTCTGCCAAGACTTCTTAGCTAAGCAAGAGAGCATTGATGAATGTGCTATAAATGTCATTCAAAAGCCTCATCAGACTGAAAGTTTTTTAAAGAGGCTCAATATCAGCTTCAGACATAACTCTTAGTTTTATTTTCCACTTTCTCATCCCTACCATTCATGAAAAATACCTGATTCAGCAATTCACTCATCCCACTCTGTTTTTTAAAATTAGGACGTGGGTTCTGATTTTAACACTGTGTCCTTTCAACCCCTGCTAAGAATTTTGATCACTCTGTGTCATTCCAGTTCTCTTTTGTAAAATTTTTTTGTTTATTTTATTTGAATATTACCAGAGCTCACCCAAATCCATAATTAGCTAAATACTTCTTTATATATTTTTCTCCCACTTAACAATCCCACTTAACAATCCTTTCAATACTTTTTTGTGTTTTTAGTAGATGTCTATTTGTAGGGATAGCTGAACTACATCCAGTCTTTATTAATGAATATTAAATAGCTTACTTGTCTCCTGTTGTAAATTATGATATAATGAACCTCTTGTACATATACTTATTTGTTGTGGTTGTAGTGTATTCCTACCTTGCTGAATGCATATGCAAGTCTTTTTAAAATCTTGGTATACATTGCTGTTGATTTAGAGAGTTACTTACACTAACTTAGGCATTGTAAGAGTACCACTCTGACCACATCCTTACATTTTTAGGAATTTAATTTTTATTTATTTATTTTTTTAATTTAATTTAATTTTATTTGTGAGGAATTTAATTTTTAAATACTTGCTCACTTCATCTAACAACATGTTATCTTAAGAATCTAATTTGGGTGGACTTTTAAAGAACCAATCATAGATTCTTTGCTTATTTTTAAACATGTTTCATACTAGTGTTTAGAAAAGGTTAAGGGCATGCTGCTATATTTTTAAATGATATCAGTAGAATCTCAAGTTTCGTAGAGTCCTTGTCCTGTGTGTGTGTGTGTGTGTGTGTGTGTGTGTGTGTGTGTGTGTATTTTGCCAGTTTTAGTTCTGTGGGTATACTTATACACACATTGCACACACACACCCTATACTTAGACATGAAAGGTAGTCATTTTCCAAATCACTTGTTTTAAAAGAGACTAGGAAGAAATTAAACAACTTTGCCAGTAATTGACATTATGCCAAGAGGAAGCTATTGATAAATTTTTAGCTATCATGGAAGCACATTAAAATCCTAAGCTCATAACTTGATAATTGGATACCTACTATGGGCCAGTTTTTTTCCACATGCTTGATCTATATTGTCTTAGATCTTGAGCCACCTTATTGTGGGAAGCTGAGGGAGCTGAGATTCAGAAAAATGGAATGAAAAACTCAGTCAGTGGTGAAGTGGGATGTCCAGGCAACTTTGTGCCTTTGAAGACTGACCCTTTACTCAAGCCGTACTACCTCATCATCCTAAAGAGGAGTATCTCTATATAGCCTTTCTCTGTCTCTCTCTCAGAGATGGAGGACAGTCAGTATTTTTAGAACAGTGTGGACATCAAATTACCTTTTGGTGTCTTCATCATATTTAGTTGACTCTCTGCTTTCCAGCGCAAAGAGCCAACAGAGAAGAGGAGAAGTTACAGGTTTGGAGAAAGAATTAGAGAACGAAAGAAATAACTGGAGTTGTGGAGGCATTAGGGTATGCATATATGTCCATTGCAGTAATTTCTTGATGTGCTTATTGTTAAAAGTATTAACTGTACAATATTTGAAGAATTTAATTTTTTGCATTTCTCTACTTCTGAAATGCTGCTTAGATACTTTTTGAATTTACATGTCCAATAGTGAAATTTATCTTTGTATGACAAGATAAATACAAAATTAGTGAGCCTTCATGAATATTTGCTCATGAGTTCTTGTAGAGAACACAAAGAAAGGAACTATAGCAGCTATCCTTGGGATAGTGGATGAGAGTCATCTCACCAGCCAACCTTACCTTAGTCTTATAAATTGTTGTCTGTAGGATCAAGTGCAACAAATTTGTTCAGGACCAAGAAAAGGACATAAAGAATACAAATTTTCACTCTCCCTCCAACAGTCCACAGTCAAAACAGTCGATGAGAAAAGCTATTTTTTTTTCTCATTATTTTATCCTGGAAGAGTCTGAAGATCTAGAGCAATGTTTTTCCAACGTTTTTGTTTTCTGTAGCTTATAAAAAATTCTGTGAAACTATTTATTTACCAAAGTTTTCATTTTAGGTTTAAGTAGTTGCGAAGGATATAACTTTTTATATTAATTATCAACTATTGACATTTTAAATCACATTGTCATATCACAGAAAAACAAGTGAAATCTGTATTTGATTCCTAGTATTTATTTTAAGACACACAAATAAATTCTTTTTAACATTTTAAAATTTTATATCTCCGTATATCCTAAATTTTGTATTCCATTTCCTTTTCCTCATATAAGATAATGTTCCAATGCAGAATATTTTTATAGTTGAAAGTGAATTATTGATCACTCTTTCATTCTTTCTCTAACCAAGAAAAAAAGTATATAAATTAAAATGTAGAATTTTGTATTTCTTTCACCATAGGCTTTTTTTGTACTTGAACATTTTTTAGTATTTTTGTTGTTGTTCTTGGGGCTTGAACTCAGAGTCTGGGTGCTGTCCCTGAGCTCTTTTGCTCAAGGCTAGCACTCTACCATTTTTAGCACCACTTCTGTCTTTTGAGTTAATTGAAGATAATAATCTCACAGGGACTTTTCTGCCAGACTGGCTTCAAACTTCAATCCTTAGATCTCAGCCTCCTGAGTAGCTTTGACTATAGGCAATGAGCAACCAGCACCCTTGCTTGGCTGTTTTTTGTTTTTTGTTTTTGTTTTTTGTAAACAAAGAACTGGGAAATACCTGACTTACAGAAGGAATTGTCACTCAGCTACTAGATACTTTGACTCTTTTGTACATCCCCTGCAGGTCTTTGCATTCCTGGCTCCTACATTTTAGAAACATCTGAGGAAGGTAGTGCAACTCATGTAGTGGGCGAGGACCATTGAGAGGAGGGAGAATTAGTTATGGCAGCTTCTATTAGTCCAGTCACCACTGGAGGGATGTTCTTGCATGACAGTCATGCCCCAGCAGAATAGTTCTGATAGTGCATTTGAAAGTTGGGGCTCTGGAAACTGTTTCTTTTCTAGCTGTGATGGTGAATCCTAGTTAAATGTTAGCTTTGCTGAGAATATATACCCCAGATTGAAGCATCAGTCTAGGGCAGCAAAAGATGAGTTAGTTGAAGGTCTTGTTTGACATATGGAAAAGGGAATCTGAGCATGCAGAGACTGATCTGCAAAGAGGAAAAAGAGAAGGTGAGAAGAGTTGGAGATGATGTGGAATGGTAGTTGTCTCTCCTTCCAAATGATAAGGGGAAGTCATATTTAAGCCCTAAGTTGCCTAGAGCCATGGGAACATTGGTTTTTCTTTGTCTTCATGTGCTTCTACAGT